GAAAAATTAAGAGAAAAGGAAAAAGTGGAAACAAAGTCTTTGTAAATAGGGAAGGGTGGAGGGGGTGAAGGGAGCACAGGGAATGGGGAAAAAATAAGAACCAAGATACATCATGTACAGGTACAGGCACCCAATGATAAATGTAAATGTACTGCACACCTAAAATGTACCAATAAAAGAATTTAAACAAAAAAAAAAAAAAACAATTCTGGCACCACAGGGCCAGCGATCAGCTCCGACCTACGTGTCAGCGGGAGCAGCCAGGGCCTCCTGGAGCAGGCAGATCCTTTCCTGAGTAGACACCTCCAGGTTCCCAGAGCTGCTTCCCCCCACCTCACTCACACACACACAATTAATTATTTGCATAAGAACAGGCTTAACCCAGACACCCTCCAGACACCCAGGAAGCTGTCAGTGGTTAAAACTTAAGCAGTACTGGGAGCAGCAAATTCACAATGCAGCTCCTGGGGGAGCATGCAAGGAGGTGGGTGACAGGAGGTCTTGCTCCAGGAGGCAGCTGGAATTGACAGCAACCCCTCTCCTGCCACTGTCCCCTGTGGCCCAGTCATAGTTCTCTTTGCTGATGCTCATAACACAGCCCTGCCCCACTGGCTTCCCTTCCTCTTCCCTTCTTTCCTGCCTGGAGGTGGCAACACCAAGGTGCCACGCTCTGGGGCTGACTTTGGTGGCCAGTCTCAGCAGCAGGTTTGGGGCCCTGGTAACCCCCACAACCTGCCCTGGAGCCCTGCTCTTCTGGTTTGTCCCTGCCAATCCCATTAAGAGTGTCTCCAAACCCAAGAACCCGACAGAAGCAGGAAGGCATTGAACACAAATTAGACTTACGTCTTCATCTCGTGCCCTTTGAGGACAGCGCACCCATGTCCTTGCCGAGCATCATTTTCAACACTCTCCCCTAACCTCTCCTTGGCTTTCTTTGTGTAGAAGGCCCACTGTAGAGATGGACCCAACTGAAGTCCCACAACCAAAGGCCAAGCTGCAACACCACCCCAGCTCCATGCATGGTGAGCAGGGACCCTGGCACCGGGGGACCACTTCCTGTGCCCCTCACACTGGCTCATCCCTGGTACCAGGAGGAAGCAGCCTGGCAGGAAGGTACTGGGGAGGATGTGCCCCTAGGGGACTTGGATGTGCCACTCCCAAGCCACAGTCTTGCTTGGAGAAAGCACAGTCGCAGAGGACTCCGGTCGCTCTGTGCAGAGAAGACTGAGGACAGGAAGAGTCAAGGCTTGGGAGCCACATCTTGGCTTCTTGGTGCCATCAGGTTGCACCAGGGGCCTGAAGAGAAGCAAATGAGCTTTTCTTCCTGGCTTTTACTTGCTTACTTTTAACCCTGCCTGGACAAAAACCAGGTATAAGGCAAAGATAAGCCAGGAGCTTCTAGCACAACTGGTTACCCCAAGATACCCAAGAGCCCCCCAACCACGAGGGCTGTGTGTCTCCCAATCGAAGAGCCAGCTTCCTGGAAGGGACTGATAAACCCACAAACAGGTATTGAAACATGTGTGTTTTCCCCGGCACCATATCACTCTCAAGCCTTTTTCTAAATCAGCAGGGCTCACACACCTGATGCCAGAAAGGTACCTGCTGGCCCCATCTCAGAAAGCACCCAAACCCAGCGCACACGGGTTCACTCTCGGTCTTTATTGCAGTGTCTGCAGTGCTGAGGATTTGGTGGGTCAGTGTCAGCAGCCGCTCCTGCCAGGACCAGAGGCACCCAGCAGCCAGAGCCACAATGTTCATGCGTGAGGCAGAAGACCAGCTCTCCCTGCGGCTCCACAGCAGTCGTCATGGTCCGAGCCAGGGAGAGTTGGTGGATCCGGTTCCAAGGCTGAGAGGTCACATAGCTGTGAGGTGGCCCAGCTTCCTCAGTCATCACAGCTGCCACACGGCGGAGTGGAAAGATAAAGCAGCCCCACGCCATGGCAAACAGGGTGGAGCAGGAGGCAGAAAGTCAACAAAGGCGTGAAAGGACAGGAACAAGGAGTGGCCAGGGCAACATGTGGCTGTGACAGCAGACAGCCTCCCTCAGTGGTGCTCCCAGGCCCTCCCCAGCTCTGCAGAGGCCAGTGCGCCTCGTGACACCACATCCAGCAGTCTTCAGGAGCCAGGTGGCCCTTCCCGCTCCTCCCACCCCAACAGCCCTTCTCAGGAAACGGAAGAGCCTAGAATCAGTGTGACCGGGAAAGCAGGAGTTCTCATGCAGCCTAATGGAGCAAGACAATAAGTACAAACACACAAACCCCAGAGCAACACTAGAAAGGAAAAGGGGAGACCAAAAACATATGAAAACCACTAAACCGGGCAAGATGGTGCACACCTGTAATCCCAGCACTCAGGAGGCTGAGGCAGGAAAATCTAGAGCTCGAGGCCAGTCTGGGCTACATGGTGAGGACCTATCTCAAAAAAAAAAAAAAGAAAGAAACTGTCTTTCCAGAAAGAACAGAATCACAGGATCCCAAATCTCCTGCTATTAGACTGGAACAGAAGCATATCATTTGCAGAAATATGGGAGGTCTGCATCAACCTGAGAGGCACCCTGAGGCCCAGCCTCCAGGAGCTGATGTCTGTGGGCAGCGCTGTCACCTCGCCAGCTCCCAGGCCAGCCACCCCCTCCGCCCTCCTGCTGGTCGGAGGTCCCCGTTCAGCCTGGCCCAGACCGACTTCAACTGAGTCCCTCACTGGGCCCTGTTTCCCAAATTACCATTCATTTAAATTACCACAGTTATTTCTTTAATTCTATTTTTAAGACAAACAACAGAGCTATTGACAAGGGAGAGAAACGTTTTAAAAAAAGAAGCAAAGGAAAAAGAATGGTGCTATCCCAAGCTACCTCTTGCGGTCTGCTCCACTGAGAGGAATTATTCTGTGGACTCACACAGATACACACGCATGCATGTACTTTTTTTCCCTGATATTTGAAATTTGAAATTCTTTGTGAACTAGCCATGCCTATTTTTACTGAACCCTTCAAAGAAAAAAGAAAGAAAGAAGCCATAACATGTAGGCTTCCAGAGAAGCCACACTTCCGCTGTAAAATCTCAGGAAGCAGTCACCAGGCAAGGCCAGAACCCAACAGAGGCAAAAAGCCACCCAGAGGGTGAGACATCCACGTGTAGATCCAGGAGAACAGTGCCAGGATTCTACACACACAGCCGCCAACCCTTCGGGCTCTTTGGAGATTTTTAATCCTCCTACTCATAGTTTTGCTATCATCAGCAGTTTGCTTTAAAAACTTTAATCAACATGTTTCTACCTTTGTCCCCTCGGTAAGGCAGAAAACCCCTCAGAGCAGTGAGAGGAAGGGGTGACATTTGAAAAGGGTGTCCAAAGGGCAGCAGAGGCGACTCTCCGGTGACAGTTTGGAAACACGATTGACGGCGACATTACGGGCAGGCTCTGGGCACGAACAATGGAGCCAGTGTCACAAACAGTGTTTGTTTTGGTTTCCATGCTTCAGAGAAGTGGCTCCAGGTCTGTCACCTCACAGGATACTAGCACGCTGGAAAACAGGTTTTACCTGAAAGAGAAGAGCAGCAAGGGTCAGTGCGCTCTGGCAGAGCACCCAGCAAACCTGTCCTGACCCTCCCAACAGTCTCCATCCCTGGGACCCGTCAGTTCCTCCTCCCCCATCTCAATTCCTGCCGGACAAGCTGTGTTTTCAGCCCCTAGAAGCTCCACATCCCCAACCACAGGACTTTTGAACGTGCTGCCTGGAAAACACACTCCACTCTTCCAGGTAACACCTTCCCTCAGTGCCCAACCCAAGCCCCTTCCACAGCTCCCCACAGGACTCAGCCTCCTCTCCCTTCCAACCCTCCTTCCTAGCCCTTCTACAGGTATTTGAGCCAGGAGTCAGCAAACTATTTCTGTAAACGTCCAAGAGTAAGTATTTTATCCTTTGTACATCCTGCGGTCCCTCTTTTGTTCTCTGGCTCATGAGGAGGTGAGCAGTTTTGATCTACCGCACACTCCTGCCATGATGTCTACCTCACCACAGCCCCAAAACAACAGGGCTAACCATGGACTCAACCTCCCAAACTGTGAGCTAAAATAAACCATTTTGCTTCTTAACTTGATTGTCTTGGGTATTTTGTTACAGTGACAGAAAGCCAACTAACACAGCTAAAAAAAAACAGGTAGTGATCTAAATTTGGCCTGTGCATAGGCCTTAGTTTTCTGTCCCCAGCCCCTAGCCAATTTATACAAGTGTCTGACGATGTCCTTCTCTTGCTTAGAATGGGCACTTGTGCAGGCAAGAGCCACATGAAGCTTTCTCACCTCTAAAGTCGAGCCCCAGAACAGTGTCAGGGGTTTAAGAAAGACTGGTGCAGAAAGCCTTGTATGAAAGAAAGTCCAAAAACTGAATCTATTCAAAACATTATCTGAAGGAGCTTAGAAAAGGAGGGGAGGGCCTAAAATCCCAGCACTTGGGAGGCTGAGGCAGGAGGATTGCAGCAAGTTCAAGGCCAGCCTGGGCTACATAGTGAGTTCAGGGCCAGCCTAGACTACAAAGGGAGACCCTGCCTCAAAAAAAAAAAAAAAAAAGGAGGGGAAATCTGACCAGTAAAGTTGCTACCATCTTCCGTCAGCGGTAGGTTACAGGCATTTTAGAGCCATGCATATAAAACTGAAGGTTTCACAGGATTTGAGGACTGGTGAAGCTTTCAGAGACCAAGCATCTGAAGACACGCAGGACCTGACGTCCACAGCCACATGGAACAGACTCACCTGTGAATCAAAGGCGACTACAGCAGCCACGGAACCCAGGAAGAGCATCCGGCGGGCTCAACACAGGGGCAAACGGCACCACCAGAGCACAGTGCCTTGGCCTGCCAGGGCATCCGAGAGCCCACATTTGACAGGGTCCTGGAGCACACCTGGGGGTCCTCTACCAGAACTCATGCTTTCTCTCCCCCCACAGCTGTAAGAATAAGCACCCCACATGCAGTGCCTGGTGCAGGGGGATCCCACCACTCATCATGAGCACCTCACCATTCCTCAACTCCCTCCACCACGGATCAAACCTCCAGGATGTGGGGTGAGCCTCAAGGCTCTCTGAGACCAATAGCTGAGTGTCCTTAGCAACAGCAACAAGGTTACCTGGGGACTCAGAGCCCCTGGCCTGAGCCCAGGATAAGCGAGACGTTTTGTTTTGGGGCTTCCACACCCAGCCTACCCTGCAGCAGCCCCTTGCAGCAAACAGCACTGATGCCCTTTGTTCCCAATGTAAAATGCTAGCCACAGTCCTCCATGGTGCAGCCCCAGCCGAAATCTCACTGGTTCCTAATTACACTCCTGCAGGAAGCTCTACCCACAAAGGGGGCTGGAAGGCAAGGGTAGAATGCAAGGCCACACCCCCATGGGGCACATCCCTTCCCCAAATAACCGGGACAAAGACCTCCCCCTTGGTGGGAGGCAGGGCTGGCAGAAGCAGTGGTTCTCCCCGCAGCGCACCTGTGCACTGCGCTTGTCACAGCTGCCAGGGGAGCCTGCCACACAAGCGGGAGGAAGAGCCAACATCTGCCTCGCCTTGGGGATGCCTAGAGGGTGTGTGTGACAAAAGTCCCCCGTAACAAACCAGTGATGCAGAGTCTCAAACATCCGCCGCCACAGCACGCTAGCCCAACCAAGCTTAAAACACAGGCAAGCGGGATCCAAACGCCTCTTGAAATATGGAACCATTTCAAAACCCCACGGTTCTCTGTATTCCATTGAGCTATCATCTCCCCCTTCTAATTAGCCTTTTTAGGTACAGAATTGGGAACACATTTCTATGGATTCCCCCCAACCTGCATCTGGCCCAAACCCTGGAGGTCTTGTCGCATGGATTGTTAACATTTGAGTTGCAGAGCCCCAAAAGAGGCTGTCACAAGGAAGCTGAGTACAGGCTCTGAGTCCCAAGACGTTATTGGAAAGTTATACATGCAGTAATAAGAGGTACAATGCCACCCTGCTGCCCTGGCACCAAAAACAGCATTTTCCTCTTTCCATTGGATCACGAAGTAATATTAGTGTACATGCACTATGAATATGATCACGATTCGACCATATTCAATTTAAATGTAGGATTGGGGATTTAGCTCAGTGGTTCCACCACCTGCCTTGCAAGTACAAGGACCCAAGTTCAATCCCCGGTACCAAAAAAAAAAAAAAAAATCAACCAATCAATTTAAATGTAGCTTGTTTCCTAAAGAAGATCAAAAAAATGGTTGAACCACGTCTTGACAGGGAAAAAAGAGGTTCCTGGGAACAGACTGTCAAGGTACAGAGATGGCCTCAAAACCATGACACCATCAAAAAAAGAAACACCAAACAAAACTGACCCTAAAAATCTCTGTTTTTCTATACTTGTTGACCTGAAAGTTGCTTGTGACATATGGAAAAGAGTTCCTCTAGAACAGGAAAGAAAAATTTCACAGATACATATTTATCCACACTCTAGTGGCAACTGTTAAGTAATGATATTATAGTGAAGTTCATTTACCTTGTTTCTTTTCTGTAATTTCTACATGTATTACATCTGTGATGGGAAAAACTATTACTACTCCATCTAAGTAGTCCATCATCTTTGGGCCTGAAAACTGGGATGGCCTTGTGTCCTGTGATTCACCTCCAGGTTCATTCTCATCCTGATTTTCTTTCAAATACAAACACTACAAACTTCTAACAGGAGCGAAATGAAGTTCAGTCCTTCAGGACAAACAGAGAGGCAGTGGCTGACAACAATAATGAATAGCTGTGGGAAGCACCTAACCCAGGTGAAGTCACAGAAGAAATGCTTGTACAGACAACAAAATTGTGACAAACGAGCTAAATATCCCATGCAGGAAGTCAGAAAAACAGAACACATCCAGAAAAAGCTTAAGAAAAGGATGCAATAATCAACTGAAAATTGAAAACGATAATAAAAAGGATCAAAGAAGCAAAAAGTGGGTTCTTTGTGTAGACTAATAAAATTAATATTCCTGTAAGACTGATTAAAAAAAGAATAAAAGGCAAAAATAAGCAGTATTAAGAGTGCAAAAGGGACCATGTCTACCCATGATACAAAGAGGTGTAAAGGATAATAATAGAATGTTAGGAACAACGTTAGTGTGTCACATTTGAAAACTGAGATGAAACAGACAAAATCCCCCAAAACTACAACTCATCAAAACTGACCCAAGAAAAAATAAAGACTAAATAGTCCTATAACTCTTCAAAGAATTGAACATCAGGGCCAGGGATTTAGCTCAGTGGTTCTGCCGCCTGCCTCGCAAGCACAAGGACTCAAGTTCGATTCCTGGTACAAAAAAAAAAAAAGAATTGAACATCAGCGGTTTTAAGAATTCTTCATATACAAAGAAAACCATCAGCTCCAGCCAGTTTCAGCATGGTCTACGAAACAATGTAATCTGATGCAAACTATTCCAGAGAAGAAGAAAATAAGGAAACATACCCCTATTTGTTTTAAGAGGCTAGTAAAATTTTTACCTAAGCCCGACAAGGATATTACAAAGTAGAAAAATGACTGACAAGCTTTGTCATTAAGACAGGAATGTCTGACAAAACATTAGCAAACTAAATATAGCAGCGTGCATAAAAATAATATAACATTGCAAGGACCCGAGTTCGATCCCTGGTACCAAAAAAATAATAATAATAATAATATAACATGACCAAACTCTTTTTATCACAGAAATGCTAAACTGGCTTAACATTAGAAAATTAATTAATATAAATTAACCACCTTAACAGAATAAAGAAAAAAATGTGACCTTCTCAAGAGTTAGATAAACCACTTCATAAAATTAAACACTAGCACATAAAGACTAGAGAAAAACTACCTGAAAAAAAAGAAGAAAGAGAAAAAAATATGGACAAAAACCCTACAGCAAACACTGCTCTTAGAGGTCAAACACTGAAAACATACCCTAAAATCAAGACCGAGACAAGATGCCTGTCATTACCACTCCATTTAACACTGATCTAGGGGCCAAGAGTACAAAAAGGCTAAAAAAAGAGAGAGAATGTTTAAGGACTAGGACTAGGGAACAGAGACCCTCAGTACTCTTTTTTTTTTTTTTTGGTTGGTTGGTTGGTTGGTTGGTTGGATGGTGTTTTTGTTTTGTTTTCTGAGAGAAGATCTCACTACGTAGCCCAGGCTGGCCTCAAACTCACAGTGATCCTCCTGCCTCAGCCTCCCGAGTGCTGGGATTATAGGCATGTGCCACCACACCCAGTGACCCTTAGTACTCTTTTTTTTTGGTACCGAGGATCCAAAACCCTCAGTATTCCTGATGACATATTTATGTAGGAAACCCAAAAGGATCCATATTTATACTATCAAAATTAATCAGGGTTTGGCAAGACTGCTAGATTTTTTTTAATATCTTTAAAAACCAACTGCCATGAACAAAAAGATTTTTTAAATTATATTTTCATTTAAAAAATCAGAAATTAGGCCATAAATCAAATGATGGTAGCTTGTATAGGAACACAGGGTTTTTTGTGGGGAGGGTTCATTTTTTGTTGTTGTTTAGGGGGTGGTACTGGGGGTTTAACCCAGGGCTTTCACACTCAGTGAACATTTCCAGCCTTTTCTTTCTTTTTAAGGCAGGGTCTTGCTAAGTCACTAAATTGCCCAGGCTAGGCTCGAACTCACAATCCGGCCTCTACTTCCCAGGTGCAGGGATTACAGTCGTGCATCACTATGCCCAGCTTCATAGGAACCTGTTTCTGAGGCTGTCTTCAAGTGACAGCAGAGAGAACCTGACAGCCCCAGGGGGAGAAACCCAGGCATAGAGACTGAGCCCATGGGCCAGAGGGGTCCATTGTGGCCAAAGGCCTGGAATCCATGGTGGAAATGGCTTTGCTGGGTCCTGCATTTTGGCCTGGAATGGGGGTGGAGGAGACACTGAGGAGCTGGGGGGGAGCTAACGTGACTCCTCACTCCAAAAGTACTCAACACTAAAGGCTTCTCTGCTGCTGCCGCACCAGCCAGCAGTGAGCACCTCTAAGGAAAGTGGCTTTGGAAATGCTCCGGAGCTGCCTACAGACCTGGTTTCCAGCTGACTTCTGCCCTTGCAGCAGGCCAGGGAGCAAACCTGCCCTTCCAAAAAACAAAACCGCTTTCCGTTACTTGAGCACCTGGCAAGTGGTTTACTCTGGTGGTGAGTTTCAGAGCCAGCAGCAGAGCCAACACGGGAGTAATTGTCAGCCTACAAGCAGCTCACTCTGAAGAACTAGACACACCATGGAAGTTTCTCAGTCTGACAGAAGTATCAAGTGAATCTCGCCTTCATTACCCCGACATTCTTACCAAGCCATCAACGCTTATGCCATATCAGTACCAGTATCCATGTCCTCAAGAAAGCGCCCCTTCTCCCACCTTATGTCAGAGCCTATAGATGGAATTTGTGAACAGACCGATTGTCATAACTCCTTGTTTCAGATCCTTTCTTATTTAGTGAGATGTAAAGATGTCACAAGCACTGCTTCGTCTCAAGTGGCTCCCATGAAGTTAGTTCAGAACCAGGTGTGGATGAGATTCTGCTCAGCGGCTCAGAATCAAACAGTGGGGGATTTAGCTCAGTGGTTCCGCCACCTCCTTTGCAAGCTTAAGGACCCAAGTCTGATCCCTGGTACCAAAAAAAAGTGGGATCCACCCTCTCACACCCCACCCACAGTACAGGACAACCAGGGTCTCAGGAGGAAGCCAGCCCAGCTTATTATGGGGAATAATGACCTGGGTTCCTTCTCATGGAATTTTATTTCTCTGTATTGAATGTATGGCTTAGCAATAGAATCAGTATAATCACCAATAATCCTGTGCATAATCATTTTGCGGGATGGATGAATATAACTAATTGACTTGATTCTTTTCAAAAGGTGCTGTTAAAAAGCTAACTATGGCTAATGAATCTTCTCCCACTCTGCTATCTATAACCAACTAATTTTAATGTTCACTTTTTCTTTACAAAACTTAGGTGTGATCCATTGACAAACTGTTTCCAAAACTGATTTGTATGTAAACATGATAATACAGCCGTTTTTTTAGATATGAGTATAAATACAATATGTATTTTTAAGGTCATATCTCTGTGTGCGTATCTGTAGAACATCTAGGAATAAGTCTAACAAAAATTTATTTTAAATTTATGGATAAGTTTTTGAAAGCATTGGAAGACATTTTATAAAATACCTAAATAAGGGCCAGGGATGTAGCTCAGTGGTTCTGCTGCCTGCCTCACAAGCGCAAGGTCCTGAGTTCGATCCCCGGTACCAAAAAAAAAAAAAAAATACCTAAATAAGCTGAGCGTGGTGGTGTTCAATCCCAGTTCAAACCCAGCCTGGCAACTCAGCAACTTAGCAAGATTCTGTCTCAAAAAATAAAAAAGGGGCTGAGGATGTAGCTAGCTCAGTGTGAAGTCCCTGGGTTCAATCCCTGGTACTGCAAAAAATAAAATACCTAAATAAATGGCAAGTCATTCCATATTCGTGGATTGGAAAAGCCAACATAAAGGGCCTAATTCTCCCTGACCTGACCTACAAGGCCAATGCAGTTCCAGTCAAAATCCTAGATGCTGTGTTGTTGAACCTAACTACTGGTTTATGCAGAAGGACCAAGAGCTGAGGGCAGCCAAGACTCCTGAAGAACCAATCACAGGGGTGGAAGGCAGCCCTCCCCAGCTACACAGAAGCCAGGCAACAGGAGGAGCCTCAGGATGGGACTCATCCCTCTTCCTCCCTGAGCCTGCAAGCCTTCATCTCCACACTGCTCACTAGCTCCTCCACTGTGAATCTCTATTCAGAGCGCATCCCACAAGGGTCTAAGAACCCACCCTGCCTCCAGATGTCAGGCAGTCATTGTGACTTTCCTGCAGACACCCCTAGAACACACACCTGTCTCGTGGGGCTCATCTGTAAATCCCATCCACGCGGGATGGACCCCACCTCATCCCTGGGGGCTGACTCAGCAGAGTGTGGGGCACATGCGCTGCTTGGTCCAGACCCCAGGCCAACGCTTGGCCAGCTCTGTCTTTGGTTCAACCCTCTTGTCCCTCCCTTAAAGCCAAGGTAGCATTCTCACTTGGGAAAAGCGGGGAGTGACCACTCCTCGGCTGAGTTTCTGGGTGCCGAGTGTTTCGGGGAGGTAGCAGATCACTCCCTCTCCTCCCAGAGCCCAGGAGGAGGCCTTTGTCCCCACCCCGCACCTGTATTTGATGTCGAACACTGTGGAGTCCTCGTCCTCATCATCCTCTTCGTTCAGCGGGGCCATCTCCACGCGTTCGGCAGGAGTGGTGATAATGTCATACTTTCGGGTTTTCCTTAACCTCTTCCCTGACCTGAAGAGAACACATTCATGAGAGGCAACAGCGATGCTAGGTGAGTTCTTCCTCCCACCATCCTGACCACAGTAAACCTGCCATGGCTTCCAGCCCCCACTCAGGCTGCGCGGAGCTGACCCCAGGAAGACACAGGGGAGCCCTGGCTAAGACCCCAGTGGCCACCAGATCTCGAGCGAGTTGCTGAGCATCCATGTGGTCCTCACTCACACAACAGATACCTGCCCTAACACCAGCAACTCAGAAATCAAGATATATAATATCGCCGGGGATTTAGCTCAGTGGTTTCGCTGCCTGCTGTGCAAGCGCAAGGACCCGATTTCAATCCCCGGTACCAAAAAAAAAAAAAGAAAAGATATATAATATCTGAATGTAATATTTTCTTTTTGCTTTTGTTCAGCTGCTCTGGGGATGGAACCTGGGGCCTCATTCATCCCAGACAAGTGCTTTACTACTGAGCTACACTCCCAGCTGAATGCAATATTTTTAAAAGGCAACATCCATGCAAAGAAAATCCATGATGATCAAAGGACTCAATGAGGACAGGATCTGGCACAGTCAAGGGGATCTGAGTCAGAGCACGGTCACACTCTACTGGTGTGATCCACAGCAGGTCAGTGGGTCCCTGTGAGCCTCAGTTTCCTCTGCTGGGATGGGTGGTCTTCCTCGAAGGTGAGGGAGATTACCCGGGGTGGTGCACTTACTAACAACACACCTGTGGATAAGAAGGTCCTGGCAAGTCACTGTTACCAGTGATAATAAATAATAGAAGTCAGACATTCTCTGGCCTCTCCCATACGACAAGGACTTGTGTACATGAGTCAGTTTGGTTTCCCTCCCAAGAATTTAGGTGGAAAGTTGGCTATAACACTCCACTGTTAGCTTAGGGCAGGCAGAGCGTCGTGGGCCACAGGCAAAGGGCTGACATGAGACTTGCTGCCTGAAGGGCGTGGTACCTACTGGGCATGGCTGGACAGCTGACGATGCCACCTGGGAACAATGCTCTTGTTGTGACCACCAATGCTCTCTGCGCTTTTTCCTCCACCTCTGTGGACCTCTCCCCAGTTGCTCTGTATTCTCAGCTGTCCGCTTTTTAAGACTATTTGATGCTACCAATAACAAGTGCTGGCAGGGTTATGGGGAGAAAGGAACCCTTCTCCATTGTTGGTGGGAGTGCAGACTGGTGCAACCACTGTGGAAATCAGTAATGGAGATACCTCAAAGAACTAGGGCTAGAGGTCCCATTTGACCCAGCTATTCCCCTGCTGGGGATCTTCCCCAAAGAATTAAAAGAATCATACC